GATAAAACGCTAAAATTTTAAATACAGTCGTAACGCTATGAATAAATAAACGCGCATAAAATAAAAACGGAAACAGCAACTTATTTCTTATGAAAAAATCACTATGAAAGAAGCGTACATGGAAATTTTTACATTTTAAACATACTAATGTGGTTTTATTCTATGAAGGTAGCTCTATCCAATATTGATAAAAATAGGACGTAATTCAAGAGTTGTACAACTTATATTTCACACTGATCTTTCTATAAAACAAAATTCCATCATTTTCAAATTTCGTTTTTTTTTATATATAGAAAATGGGTAAAAATGGCTAAATGGGTAAAAAAATGTTCTTGATGTTATTTATGGATCTGTTTACTTTTTAATTGAGGGCAAAAAGTTCCATTACTTTTTGACATGTCATGAATATTTTTCCAAGTTTAGCCTCAGAAATAATAAAATGACTTATTTTAATTTATTTACAAAGTGGTTTAACCTGACAAGGCTTAACAACTTCCTGCTTGGGATTTTGAATAATTAATGAAATAAATAAAATTAACATGTTTGGCTTTAAAAAACGCATTAAGTCAAAGTACTTTTAGTAATCCTTTCTTGTCAAATATTGGAAACTAATTAAAAACTTTGAACTGAAATGATCAATCTGATATGGATCAATACTTTGTATATTTACTAATTTGATAAAAAAATTGAATCAAAATTTCCTTATTTATTCAAAATGCTTACTTTTGGACTTTTGCTGTTTCTGATCAAATTCTAAATCTTATTTATGATAATTTAAATCCATATAAATCGTATTTTCAGTTAAATATCTGATTTGTTTAAATAAAAATATAGCAACTAATTAAGCAATAAAAATCACAATGCACTGTTCAACATCTTAGCAAATGAAAGAATATAAATGATAAATATTAAAATGATATTAAAACACTTTAATATTCCATTTAACATTTTCAACAGATTTCATCACATGAAAACCTCAGAGATAAGGATATTGCAGAATTAAATTGGCAAAAGAGGACAAGACGAGTATTTTTTTCTCTTGACCCTTTACATTCCAGACCTTCATTATCGAAATTCCTCCGTCATTCAACTCATCTGAAGTGCTATGTCGAAAAGCCGCACCTAGGTCATCTTTTCTCTTGAGCTAAACAGAACTTAAAGATTTCCTCTGAAACCCGGACCTTGTTTCAGATTTCTGACGGTTTATAATGTTCCTTTAGCTGAATAGAGCAAAAAATATTGTGTCTGAGGAATGTGGAAATGAGGATTTTGTGGAGAATCTTTCAAGGAAACCTGCCTCATATTCATTTTAAATGTGGGGAAAATGATGAAAATACTTATTCAGTCAGTCTTTTCGCTAAGATTCGAATCCGAATCGAACTACCATTGTTGGCAATCTTATTCACTTGACTACTAGTGAGAGGCAAGTATTTGATCAACTCGACTTGATCTAGTTTTTTATGCGTATTTTCAGTAGGCAAGAAACAATAACAAGAAGCAACAGAAATTAATTGACGGTGATCATAATATTGACAGAACTCAAAATCAAACCTACAAAAACTGCTGAATTAGTATTTTAACCACTGGGGAACTAATGGGTCGTGAATAGTTATTCAATAATACGTATTAAATTTTCTTATTTTATCTCACATTCTGACGTGTCTAGTGCCAGAAAGGATTTGTAAGAACACTTTAAGAGCTTAGTTGTTTTTATAGGTTAGTTAATTGATTAAATCAAAAAACAATTATGATGACTATCCTAACGGTGAGACGTCTTCTTGGATGATTTTCTAAGGATAATGGACTTGTGTTTACATTACACATATGGAACAGAATAAAACCCCCACGCATCCAATCTGTTCGCAATATTTCCGATAGTTAAGGGGGAAATATCAAAGAAGTAGTGAACTTTTTCATATTATTTGATTAAAAGATTTAAAACAGACTTGCTTAGCAGTGAAATTTGGTATGGCATTACCTTCTGTGAAATAGGAAACTATTTTTATTTCTCTTCTTTAGCAGTTTATAAATATGTTAATTTCTGAACAGAATTATTGACGAATTTTTACTTTCTGATTTGTTTTGAGAAAACTGCATATTTATCACCAAAATGTAATCTTTTATCGAATGCAAAATTTATATTGGCAGCACAAGTCGCAATCAGTTTTTGATAACTGCATTCATAGGTTATTATGTATACCTATGATTCGAAAAACTGGGATTGAGACTATATATTAGTATTACGTTTTGTCTTTATAAAGCATGGCAATCTCTGTTGGCCTCGAACATATTTTTGCCGTCATATTTAGCACTGCTGTTTTGTTGCTTGGCGAATTGTTATGCACTTCTGGTATACAAGATAGTTTGTCACAGAATCCCTTACCATGACTTAAAGGAATCTCCAGGTTACGATAGTTTGACCTAAAGCACGCTCACTAATGTCTCCGTTTTGACTTACGTCTGCTCTCCTCTCTTGACGTAACAACGTTTCAGTGTGTACTGGCCATTCCATTTGTGGCTAGTTGTAGCTCTTGCGATATTTTTATAATGCAGTTTCGTTGCACAGGGAAAAGTGGACGAAGCACCAGAACTTAGCATATGCTCATACAGGTATTGTTCCATCGCACTGCTGTACAAGTCCAAGAATACCCCAGAGGGCCTAAAAGGCTCGAGTGATGCAATACCAAGCAGCGAATGATCGCTGTCCATATCTTCAGGGCCGTCTCCGCCGGTGGGGACAGGCACCTCATTCGTAAGTCTGGCATTTACTAATTTTGTACAAAATTTACAATTGGTACCATTTGCAGCAGTGCATAAAAGATCGCTTACAAAAGTTTTGTTTCATTGCACAGGTGATAGGTGAGACCAGGGTCCGGGCGCACGGGCGGCTTTCACTGACTATTGGATATTGTCCGGATCCCGCAACTGTGCAGAAAAACTGCATTGCCAAACAGGGGCTGATAGTGAAAAACAGATGTACTGCGGATTCTTACAATACCAAGGCTTATTATGCATAATATATGGCAATATAAAGATATCTTACATCGAAAAGTGGTGTTACTCCTGCACAATGGGACCACGTAGTTCATAATGATTTTGTTGATCGATTTTGTTTTCCCCAAAAAATTATAAAACTGATTTAAAATTAATTCTGAAGACATTTTTTGGTGGCGTCTGTACTTACATATGTATTTATCTCGCATAAGTCAAATACGAGTACCCTCAGAACGTTGAAATTTTGTATATAGGACTGCTATAGCATGTAGATGTGCAGCCCTCCCCCATTTTGTTTGCAATCGGCAGCATCAAAAGTATATAAATATATGTATATACGTATATCCACTCTGTTACTCGGCTCAGTGAGCTCAGTTTCTTATTCTTATATGTTTGTAAATTGTGCATTTTTTTGCTTTAAAAACGATTGCATTATGTTGTTCTTATCTTTCGGTTAAGGTTTTTATGCCTTTTTATGCCTTTAGGTTAAGGTTTTTATACCTTTTTATGCCTTTAGGTTAAGGTTTTTTTGCCTGCATGCAAGAATTGTGGAATTGTCAACAATTTAAAAGTTTTTTAAGTGCGGCTTAGACTAACTTTTGTTTGGCATAGCAGCCAAATTCGTGTACATTTGAAACTTAGCGGAATAGTAGATTTGTTGTCAATCTAGAGAAACTAAGCTTCGCAACAACAAAGTGACGTCTTCTTTTATTATTGTGAATTAAATTATCCTTAATTCATCCTGGAATTATCATTGAAGTTATTAGCTTGTTTTTGCGTAGAAACTGTAATTTTAGTTGTAGAATTTTTGTTATTGTTTTAACTGTACGTGGCGTTTTATGTTTTTCTCTATCTTTAAATTTTTAATGAAAATATTTTGTACTTTTATGTACTTTTGCCTTGCTGCGAAGTGAGAACTGAATTAATTAGGAGCGCATGCGCATTAGGTAAGCGGCACTGAATCGTCTGTGAAAAACTGTTTCTTTTTTATTTGCTTAATTTCTTCTATACGTCGTTTCAGATTTATTATAGTATTTGAATATAACGTGTGATAATTCTTCAGATGATATAATTTTTGTGCATTCTGAGTTATAAAATGAATGTTAATGCTGTTAAGGAAACATAGCTCCGAAGTGTCGCTATGGTAAAAAAATATAGTGAACTTTAAATTGTGCATTTATTCTACTGTGGTTTATCCGCTATCGACGAAGTAGATTTAATTCAAAATTCGTTAATTGATAATTCAATTTGTTTAAATGAAACTCAGAAAAATTGCGTATGATTTAATATTTCGTGCAAGGATGTCATGTGGTGTACACATCAGATTTTTTTTCCGAAGGACTTACTATTAGATTGTTAATTATCCTCCATTTGTGCGTCCTATGATAAATCCCTAAATGTTAAGCAGTGGTTAAGGTACTATAAATATAAAAGACATGCAATAACCTAAAAGCAGTCCTTGTTAGAATCCTGTAAAGAAACTTCAGGATATTCGCAAACGAATTGCAGCTCGAGTCCTCAGCTGAAGAGGCAACTTATATTTGTTCTTTTTCTCTGTGTAAATTTGTGTACAACAAGCACAACGGGGTCTTGATTTTCCAACTATTGGAAGATGATTCCCAACACATTCAGGACATTCTTATGAATCTTCGACCCAGTAGTAATCTTAAAACTTTAGTGAGACATATATGTTCCGTTAGTAGTAAAAAGGATTAAAAGTAAAATTCAGGGGCCGAGTGCAAGTGAAACATCTTCATTTACGGATCTCTTTCCTAATATTTTACCTAGATTTTAATGTATGAAAAGTATTAACTTGTTAAACAATTTTGGACACTTATTTACTTTAGTTATTGGCATGCATATTTTGATTATGTTTTCCTGTTAAAAGAATATTGTCTTCGCGTTCAGCGGATTATTATGCTATTTCTATCTGTACCGAAAGTGTATTATGTTCATATGGTTTCAGAAATTATTCAGTATTTTATGTTTTTTTTTCTTTATTACAGATATTTACATGTTTTGAAGTCATTTTCATGAAGATGAAGGTGACAAAATTAAGAAGTAGTTGCCATGCAGAAAATGTTCGTAAAACAACTATGTAGTTCGAAATATAATACTGGAAATATTTTTGTGTATTTGCATGGCTTTGTACATATAACGAACTTGCTATATTTTAGTTCTATATTTACTTTATGTATAGTTTTTATCTATGGACGATAATTTTTTCATTGAAAATTGCGTCATCATTTCATTTACTAAACACAATAAATTTTAGTATATGCTATGTAACGCAATTCCATTTTAAAGCTGCATTGTATTTCACTTATTATTCAGGAAACTAATCAGTTCTTCAATTCACTATGAATGTTATAAGAATAACGGAGAAAAGTGTTTTAAAGGACGAAATATAAAACATACATCGTGCATATTTTACCTAATATAATCTTTTCAGCTGTAAAGGAAACATTTATAAATCAAATATTTATAAATCACAAAAATTTCTTTAAATAACTGTATGCAATCATACAAAACTCATTGAAGCGCATATGATCTCAATGCATTCTTTGTAACAATAATACAATAAAGTAATGAATGCTGCAATTAGAAATGGGTAAAGACTGTATAAATACGATTTTCTTTGAATTTTATTTAATTCAATAAAACAGGTAATTCTATTAAACTATTCTTCTGTTGCACTAAATATACTGCCTATTATATGTATGCTTTCATTTTGCGCGAAATAATGTATTATTCAGGCCAATAACGGAGCTGCGCTTAATAACTGTTATTTTCAAATAATATTCTTCTTATAATCTTTTATATTTTTGGACGCCTGAAATGTGTTTCCAATAAAACATATTTATTTGTACTGTTCAGTAGTTTATTTGTCACATATTTTAATTTTTATTTAAATGTGTTTAACTTTTATTGCTACCTAACTCTCTGAACTATTTCCAAAAACAGTTTTATTATTTATTTTTTAAGTAACTGTTTAACGGGTTCTTTATACTTATCTGTTTATTTTTGTAATGCGGTTCCTAATTTAATTCTCTTAAGTACGTAATTTTTTAATAAACGAAAAATCGTGTTTAGATCCATAGTGAAGTTGAAATTTATTCGCTGAGAATCTGCAATTTTAATTTGATTTAGAGAGCTCATCTTAAGCAGGTTTTTTGAAGTTCCAATATGTTACAATAAAAACAAAACATCAATTTATTTAAAATCCTATTCATTTCCTAACAAGAACATTTTAAGAAATCAAATATTTAAAGAAAGTATTGCAAACTCAAAGTAAAAAAGAAACTTTGATCTTTACGAATAAAATGAGATAATATTTTTCTTGAGCTATTTAACAGAATTAAATTTCAGGATGAAAAAACTCATTTATTTCAGATAAATAGATATTCTGGAATGTTTGAGAATGCATCGTTAAATGTCCTGACTATGCTGGCATCAATCACTAGCGAAAATCGAACTTATGATTAAAATTTAGCACGAAAAGAGCGCGAAGAAGAATAGAGAAGATAAGAATTATTTTTAAACTGAATAATAATCATTTAATCAGTATGCACGCTTACCATGATTAACAAATAAATGCGCGAACAAAAACCATTAAAACTATCCATTATAAGGTACATCACATTGTATTTTTTTAAATTAAGAAAACAGATACAAAACTCCTCGTGTTCCACGAAATATTCCACGAGGCTTACAGATGTAAATAAGTCACACAAAGTAAAACGAATTTAACAATATAAACATAAAATCTAGCCCTGAAGAGAGCGAAGGAAAAAAACTATATATATAATACAAATACTAAAATATACCATGAATAATTTAACAATGTTAATACTTCTATAAAAGAAAATAAACCAACTTAAAAAACGCAATAATAATAAAAATGTAATAATGCTAAAAAATAATATTGATACAAAAAAAAAGTATATCGACAGTACAAAACATCAATGCATAACGTAATCATACACAGGCCGTACGCAAAATAATACGACACATAAATGATAAAAAAATTAATCATATAAATAATAATAATAAACGATCAAAGAACAAATAAAGTCGCGAAAGACTGCGAAGGCTCGGAACTCCTAACAAGATCATAGAAAACAGGTGGTGTGGTGTATTTAATTATGGCAAAGCACACTAGGGCTATCTAGCCTAAGGAAAAGGGATGCCTTCGTGAAGGACTTTCTAAGGGGAACTGGCTCGTATACACGTTACACATGGGGAAAACCACGAAAACACCCATGCAGCCAGCCCGTTCGCGGGATTCGACCTCAGACCAAACTACCAGTGTTCAGCGACTTTACCGCTCGGCCACTGGTGGGCTCCATAGAAAACAGAAGGCCAGCAAATAGAGAGCTGCCCTAAACTCACTTTAAATGCACTTCTGGCAGTCGCACGCAACCTACAATGCAATAAAATATGTTACACATTTTCCACAGCATCGCCGCAAGCACAGAGTCCGCTAGTAACAATAATGAAACGAAGTAGAGTTAGAATAAGTTTCAAAATTCCCATGACCGGTCAAAATCCAAGTAAGTTTTATAATCCGGTTAAAAGTAGTTGAAGAACACTTCGGAAAAGTCTCTTTGTCCACTGGGCTTTCGAAGAAGCAAGATATTCAGCATTTCAATCAACCACAATTTTCTTCCAAGCCACATGCTTCCGATAAGACTTGGGAGAAGACAACATTAAATCGACATCACGACAAGTCGCTTATTTAGCCAATTTGTCAGTCTTATTTCCGAGAATACCACTGTGGCCGCGAACAAAAGTAAAATGAATATCTGCATACATCCAATAGCGTATAAATATAGAATTTACGCCCCAGTTTTTCAGTCTATAGTATATCAATTAGATGAGAAGAAAGTGAATCTGTGCAAATAAGATATTTAAACGTCTCATTCTTATGACAAGAGTTTTATATCCATTTAATGGCAAGAATTAAGCTCAGAATCTCGGCTTGAACAACAGAACATACATCTGATATCCTATATTGAACAGTTTCATTCTCCCTACCATCTTCATAAATAACAAATTCAAGCCAACCCTTCCATTTAACTTACTGCCATCTGCGAAACAAATCAGACTGTAGTCTTAGAAACACTATTATCATAAGTAACAACTATCACAGGGTTTCTGTCTGAAGGGTGAGGTAAATCTGAAAAATAAAGCATTCCATTCAAGGGATCGCAAGAGTTGCCATTAGAAGTCCATCTCTAACATTCTAGATCATTTAAGATCATTAAATCAATAGGCGGAAGACTAGAAATAACGAATGCTGCCTCATGACTAACAGTACTGTAACCACGAATAATGCGGTGGAGAAAGCTTCCTTGAACCCTTCTAAGACGTTTACAGTATAAGGTATTTCTCCCGCCTTCTTGGCATGCCTTTGTGGTGTGGTGGTCTGCACGCTGGGCGTGTATTCCAGATGTCCGCAGTTCGATTCCCGGCGAAGGTGTTGTTCATTTTTCATCTCCCCGTCCTCGAAATAACCTAAATATGTCTCTACAACAGTTTATTTTCTTCCTTAAAGAATTGCCCCAAGCTCTTGAGGGATAGGAAATTAGTGGTATGATGGCCTGATCATAAATCAGTTTGAGAACATCTCATTTGATCCCCATAAGGGTTCTTTGAAATTTTCAGTAAATCTAGAAGAACTGTTTCACCCTTACTGGAAATATAAGAAATATGTTACTTCCATTGTAATTTATTGTCCACAATAATTCCTAAATATTTAATCCACTGCACTTCTTCAATAGGCTCATTCCCGAGAGATAAATCAATCCTATAAGACGGCACAAAACCACATCTTCATGATTCTCTTTCGATAACTTGGAACAGCGACTTGGATTATCAGTTTGCTTTACAAAATTTTAAGCTACTAGACTGCACAAATATAAGTTTTGACAAAATGTTTATATTATGTGCGTGTATAAAGAATTTTAAATACCTTAAGGATTCAGGGGTCTTTTAAGTATCAGAACATCCCCAAAACAAATTTTAAAGTCCAATATCTTTATAACTGATTTATGAGAATGAAATTTTGTATACTTATTTCAATACCCTTAATAATGTGTTTGCTGCTTTTATTTTATATTGTAAATATTAAGATATTTTAAATAAAATACTTTTTTGGCACCTCCATAACAGGGTAATATGTATTGCGTGTAGTATTATATAAACATGTCAGTATTTTTATCCTTTTTTTCCCCAAAAAAGGGAAAAAATATGCAACTAAAATGACCTGTTAAAACTAACGGAATTATAATTTCTTAAGAGTAAAATTTTTTTTAGGTCCATAACTTCAAAATCGGTTATTTTTTAACAGAATGAAAGGTAATTTGTAAAATTTTAGGCGAAAGACATAGTAGTTGTTTATTTTAAACTGACTTGCCTTAATATAGCTTTATCTACGTTTTCACTTTAGAATTTGCATTAACACGAAACTACTAACATGGATAATGCATATGGCTTACCATTAGATATTTTTAAAAGGAGGAAATTCATTTTATGTAAATATTCGAAAAAAAATTGAAAAATAATAATTTACAAGAAACACTCAGAACAATTTTCACTACAGAAATTGACACTACCTAAGTAAAACCATGTCAGTAAATCATAAGGATGATTGATTTTTTTCTAATAAGCTGGGTGGAAGTGTCACTTGTTGCTTATAACTGGTGACACTTGTAATAAAATTTCATATTCCTACGGAGATGATGTGTGCAAATGCTTCCTGTGCGAAAGTATTGTTGCGAAAAGCCCAGCTGCGGTAAGATAGCTTTCCCGCAAAGCGTGGAAAAGTGGCTAAAAAGTGGCAAAGAAAGACAGGATTGCCAGATTTGGCGCAAAATCGCCCATTTGGCGATAAAATTAGCGATATGCCATAGACAGAGCAAGAACATTCTAGAACGCATTCTTAACGGTTTTCTCGAGAATGTTCTCGGCGTAGATCAAAGCTATATATACCCTGCTATACGCGTAGTAGTAGTATCTCGAGTTCAGTAGCAGTAGTGGAGTTCAGAGGTTAGCTTGAGAGCGATTGATCAACTCGGAAGCTGTATTTTAGTGCTTTGCCGTGAAGCTATTTTCACCGTTATACTCTGAAGGTTGTGTTGCCTGATTGTTTAAACGTGTTCTTCGTAGTTTTTTTATGATTGTTAACGTGTCTTTGGTACTGTCTTGGGTAATACTGGCAAATAAATTGTGTTTTGATTCTTCATCAAGTGTTATCATCAATTAATCCAAATCCACGAATCGTAGAACGCAATAGTATCATATCACCTTAAAAAGTAAACTTTAAAAATTCAAAAATTTTTATGAAAAAATTTATCTTATATTACAAAATAATAAGATATTTCAGTCAGAATATCGGTATTCCAATTTAAATTTTACACTACACTTATTCCAAAATGTATATTTCTCCAAAACGTTTTTTAATTTTTTTAACACTAAAAAATTATAAATCTTAACATGCATTAAAAAAAGTACGAAAAATTGCACAATTATTATATATTTCTTCTAAATTTAAAAACGATATCAAAATACTCAAACAATTTTAATCATCTTTAACCAATAATGTGATAAATTTAAAAAAATCTGTTGAAAATGAAATGTCTTGTGCTTCGAATGCTTGTTTACGACATTCATTTCTTCAAATTCGTGACAATGTTCAAATAATTTTCAGTATTTTATTGAAATTTAGGAAAAGTGTTATTTTTAGAAAATACTCTTTGAAAACTTATACGGAAAGTTTCTTAAAATACTCCGTCGAGGTAAAAAGACCCTTCACATCAATTGCGTATATCAATATGCTATCCGACAGATATCACGCTTATTACGTAAGTATTAC